GCCCCCCCCCCCCGGCCTTCCGCGTGCCGCTGCTGGACTACGGGTACCCGCTCGTGCCCACGCCGATCCTGGCCCCGCACCACGCGCACGCGCTTCACAAGCCCGAGCACCACCAGTACTTCTTCACTTCCGGTAAGCGGAAAAATAGGAGAATATATAGGAGAAAAGGGAGGAAATTCCGGTTCAAAGCATCCAAATTACGCACAACTTTGGTCAAATTTTGTGGTTAAAAATAACCACAATCTTCACCAATTCATGTTTTTTTTCTTAGATGATTTGAAAGTGGCTTTAGAGACCTTTTTGAAGCATAAACATTTAATTTTCCAGGATAAATGCCCCATTTTAAAGGAGGAAATTCTGGTTCAAATCGTCCAAATTACGCACAACTTTGTTCAACTTCGTCAATTTTTGTGGTTAAAAATAAACACAATTTTCATCAATTAATGTTTTTTAAATTAGATGATTTCAAAGTGTCTTTAGAGACCTTTTTGAAGCATAAACATTGATAAGTTTGAGGCTTAAAGTAAGAATTTTCCAGGAAAATAACTAAATTTTAACGGAGGAAATTCTGGTTCAAGTCATCCAAATTACGCAGAACTTTGTTCAAATTCAATGGTTAAAAATAACCACAATATTCATCGATTAATGTTTTTCCCTTAGATCATTTGAAAGTGTCTTTAGAGACCTTTTTGAAGCATAAACATTGATGAGTTTGAGGCTTAAAGGAGGACAAATATAGGAAAATAAAACATCCTCATCCTCACGATAAAGGAGAAAATCGAAAAAATTCTGGTTCAAATCGTCCAAATTACGCAGAAGTTTGGTCAAATTTTGTGGTTAAAAATAACCACAATCTTCATCAATTAATGTTTTTCCCTTAGATTATTTGAAAGTGTCTTTAGAGACCTTTTGGAAGCATAAACATTGATGAGTTAAAGGAGGATAAATATAGGAAAATAAAACATCCTCATCCTCAAGTTAAAGGAGAAAAGCTCCGTTTTAAAGGAGGAAATTCTGGTTAAAATCATCCAAATTACGCAGAAGTTTGTTGAAATGTTATGGTTAGAAATAACAACAATCTTCACCAATTAATGTTTATTTCTTTGATTATTTGAAGGTGTCTTTAGAAAGCTTTTGGAGGCATCAATATCGATCAGTTCAGAGGCTTAAAGGAGGATTTATCCAGGAGAAAAGCTGCGTTTTAAGGGAGGAAATTCTGGTTAAAATCGTCCAAATTACGCAGAACTTTGTTAAATTTTTATGGTTAAAAATAACCACAATATTCATCAATTGATGTGTTTTTCTTAGATTATCTGAAAGTGTCTTTAGAGACCTTTTTGGAAGCATAAACAGTGATTAGTTATCGAAACGATTCGAGGTGAATTCAGAGGCTTAAGGGGGAATTTATCGAGGAGAAAAGCTCAATATTAAGGGAGGAAATTCTGGTCCAAATTACGCTTAACTTGGTTCGACTTCCTCACATTTGATTGTTAAAAATAACCACAATCTTCATCAATTAATATGTTTTCCTTAGATGATTTGAAAGGTTTTTGAAGGCATCAATATTGATTAGTTATAGAAACGATTCGAAGTCAATTCAGAGGCTCAAAGGAGGAATTGTCCAGGAGAAAAGCTCCGTTTTAACGGAGGAAATGTTCAAATCATCCAAATTACGCTGGATGAACCGTTCAACTTCGTCGCATTTTAAGGTTAAAAATAAACACAATCTTCATCAATTAAAGTGTTTTCCTGAGATGATTTGAAAATGTCTTTAGAAAGCTCGTGGAGGCATCAAGACTAATGAGTTATCGAAACGATTCCAGGTAAATTCAGAAGCTTAAAGGAGGATTTATCCAGGAGAAAAGCTCCATTTTAAAGGAGGAAATTCTGGTTCAAATCATCCAAATTACGTTGAATTTGATGGTTAAAAACAACCACAATCTTCATCGATTGTTTTTTTTCTTAGATTATTTCGAAGTGTCTTTAGAAAGCTGTTTTGAAGCATCAAGACTGATGAGTTATCGAGACAATTCGAGGTAAATTGAGGGACTTAAAGGGGGAATTTTTCAGGAGAAATCATCCAAATTACGATTAAATTTGATGGTTAAAAATAATCACAATCCTCCTCAATTAATGCTTTTTCCTTAAATGATGTAAAAGCATCAATATTGATGAGTTATCGAAACGATTCGAGGTAAATTGAGGGACTTAAAGGAGGATTTATCCAAGAGAAAACCACATTTTAACGGAGGAAATGTTGGTTCAAATAATCCAAATAATCTTCACCAATGAATGTTTCCTTTGATTATTTGAAAGTGTCTTTAGAAAGCTGTTTTGAAGCATCAAGACTGACGAGTTATTGAAACGATTCAAGGTAAATTGAGGGACTTAACGGAGGATTTTTCCAGGAAAAAGACGCTCACGTTCATAATAACTTTGTTTTTCCTCTCAGCGTCTAAAGGCAGGAACTTAGTTTAGTGTAGTTTAGTTTAGTGTAGTTTAGTATAGTTTAGTGTAATTATTTTAA